ACTCATGTTCCACATGTGGGGGTGAGGCACTGACTGATACCAGTTTCTTAGAAACTGCTGGAACACATACCGATACAAGTGGAATTATCTCAACCTACTAATACATTGTTTTTCTTGTAGAAGAAATACTGTAGGTACCTTGACTCGTAAAGATCGATTATTTGTGCAGGCCAAACATTAGTTGCATCAGTATTTCCAAAAGCTTTCATATGTGTTAATTCCCATTTCTGACTGTGTCATTCATTCTTAAGATCTATGTGAAAACTGATAGAAGCAACAAAAGAAATAACCACAATCCAGCTCGGCTCCAGTCTGAATAAAACTAGCCACTTACCTCATCAAAGCTTTGACAAGAGCGAAGAATTTAAATGTGCTGGATTTGACAAAATCATAACCTGCTGAAAGAACCAGCCTTTATTGTGAAAAGTAACGATTGGGAGACAAAGGCACAGCCTGTGCCAGTGTCTAAAAATACAGCAAATGTTAAACCAAATCACAGTGAAGGGGTGACTTTAGTTTTAAATGCAGGGAGCCAGCCTACAGACTTCAGGTTCTTGACAGGTTGCCATGAAGGCTGCAGCCCCCCCTACACAGACTTTGCCAGTTCTGAAATGTCACAGTATGCAAATGCTCCATAATTTAACTGACTGCTCTTACACTTTTCATCCACCTTAAACATTCAACTGAGTCCCCTGAAGAACGAAGGGAAAAAAGATATATGTTGTGGGTTTGGAGGGCCTTCAAATTGAAATCCTCAGCCCTTTAAATGAGTGGCAGGTAATGGACCTAAGTGCTGTCTGTATTAAATTTGTTTTAAGAGGCTGCCATTCTTTGGGTGTGCACAGTATGCACGGGCACAGAGTAAATAATCTAGTGAGTCTGGAAATTAATTTGGAAAGCATGCGGGCATGACTTGTTGAAACAGAGACTGGCTGGAGAGCCAATCAGTCTCACGAAAAGACAATTACAAAATGTAAATAGTGGACACTTGAATGGGCACTGTGTGTGAGTATGTGTGTGTGAATGAAAAGGCGAAGTCAGTGGCTGGTGTAATCCTCAGGCAACACTGACATCAAGTGGTCGTTTGTAGGAATTTCAGCATAGGACCAATGGCTCATTAGGAGTGGTTGTGGGGCTTTTACAGTGCCCGTTGTCTTCAGCATGTTATCAATTACAGGAAGTACCGTAGACAACTATGTTGATGTCAGTTCCTTGCACAAGATCAAGAGGTTAACAAAAGTTGTTCACATGTTCAGTTCATACTTCTCATATCTTTACTGCGGTTTGGCAGGTCCTAAGCATTCTGAGCAAACAAAGGTTGCAGTTGTTTCAGGGAATTCCCATGCTGAGAACAAATGTATGCCATCAGTAACTTAGAACAAGAGAACATGCTTGTATTAATTATGCAAGTTATTAATGTTAATGATGACATAATGCTAAAAGCTTAACATACAGTACATGTACTGAAACTAAAATTCAAGAACCAGAAAAACATGGAGAAAGAAAAAGACAAATGTTTGATGACAGGTTATTGAGAACCAGCTGGAAGTTGTCAGGACAAGTTAAACAAGTTTGTCAGCCCATGTTTTCTAAAACTTTTCAGCACTGAATGCATTGGCCTGGAACAAACTTTCTGAAAGACTGAAATAAATGCATGAAACAAGCTGGGATAGCACTGGCCACTCCTGAAATCTGATTGACAACCCCTTTATCTTTACCTCTTCCACTCTGCTCTGTCTTTTATAGGCTGTAGCAGGCTCCATTTTGAAGCTAGAGTGAAGATATCATGTATGTATCAAACGAAACTAGATGACTTAACATATCCATTGGTACCAACATGCTGGAGCTAAATAAAACTCCAAATTTAGGAAAGATCTTGGTGATGGAAAAACTGGTATGACTATTTGCAATGGCATCCCTTCACTTCTGACCTCAAGATAACTGAATGAAAATGGGTTATTTTGGTACCCACAAGTCTCCCCTTTACAGACATGCCCACTTTATGCTAATTCCATGGAATTTTGTGGAAAAAACATTTTTTGCATGTGGTGTAAATGTGTTATTTTCACCTGGTCTATTTTAATTTTTCTGCATACTGCAGTATTGGAATTACATAAACTGGACATGACTGGAAAGTTGAGACACACACTTTATGCCACTCCTGAATACATCAGTGCCCCACAAAGTCTGGAAACACCCATGTAGTGATGTTCAGCACTAATGTTGAATGATAAGACCTGGCTTACAGTCAGCGTTCCAGTTCAACCCAAGGTTGCTGGATGGGGTTAAAGTCAGGGCTTTGTGCAGGCCAGTCAAGTCTTTTCACACCAAACTGGGAAAAGCCTTTCTTCGTGGAATTAGCTTCGCGCACTGGGGCTTTCTCTATTAAAATTTGGAGTGGTATCTGTCAGTGAAACATGACAGATCGTTGATAAGTCACACACAGCACTCGTCACATATGTTTATAAAAATCGTATATGCAGGTGGGACATGAGGGGCACTGAGACAAATCTGGGGAAGTATCTCAAGCAAATAAGTCACCAATACTGTGGTGACATCTTCCTACAATATGTGCACGTTTGAATACAAGCTTTCTAAGAAGTGTACAATTTTCTACTTTTCCCTTTACTTACCTTACAATGTTGGCAGAAATGAACATTGCCTAACATCACTTCAGCTACCCAGTCACACAGTAGCTACGACTTGCCACCGCAGTAAGGGCAGCACCTCTAGATAGCAGAACGATCAACATATAAAAGATGGACATCTCCACTTCCTCACACTGTACAAAAATGAAGCCAAAATATTAGGATAGATCCATTACTATATTATGCTAGGGACGTCATTCGGAGACACAGTCTGCGCAGTAGTGATAGGGGTTGGCGCCGCTGTATTAAAGTCCTGCCCATATGCCCGGCCAACTCAATTATGAAAGAGCCTCAGCTGTCAATCATTAATAATGAACACTTGAACATACATCATATATACACATATATATTTAAATATATATATTAATACAAAACAAAGGTTTAAATTCATTACCATTTCTATTTATACAGTAGTGTTTTTCATCTATAAATTTACTCTAGGTCAACAGCTATCCCTTTCATATCAGGTCTGGCTAACTAACTTGCTCACTCTGTGAACAAAGCTGGTACAGGAAATAGGAGTGTTACAGCAGTTCTTACCTTCATTTGCCGTAAACAAGCGTTGGACTTGTCATGAACAAATAGTTTTTCATTTAGCTACTTGAATTACTTCATATCCTGTATGCCAAAATGCTGGCACACAAACCTGCCAACTGAGTCTCATGTTGTGCTCGCAGGTGATGACTGCACTGTCAAACATATGAGCAATGCAGATCCAGTCTCCCCTGAGAGGTGAGAAGTTGAATGAATTTTAAATGATGAAGTAACCTCTACGGAGTGTGATGAGCTCCAGCTTTCTCGTTATCTAGGACAAACCAGTTTGCTTCTTAAACACTAGATGTTATTAGGGTTGCTCAGAGTACTTTCTTAACCTTTTTCTCAAATTGGAAGTTTGGTTACATTTGGGTTGATTTTAGAAGTAGAAATGGCATTTGTGAATGGATGCTTCATATTGTTAAAGTTGATATGAGCTGATTTATATACATGAAACATCTAACACTGGTATTTGAATATGACATTCCACAGAGTGCACCTTATAATAAAAACATGCTGCACTTCCTTGTGCTTCGAAATTCCAGTAGCAGCGAGAGAAAGAAACACCCATGTGGGGGTAAGAAAGGGACACCAATGACAATACAAGAAGAAAAATTCATAGCATGACAAGACGCACAACAGCAGGATCCCTTTGGCTTTTGGCTTTTCAACATGAAAGGGGCAAACTATCAAGGTAAGAGTTTTCCTGTGACAGTTCAGCCGATTTATTCATTTTCACTTTGTCACAGAGCAATCTCAGCCCTTTGATAATTAATTATGAAGTTGAAGAACAGCTATGCTGAATGAATTTAATTATTATTATATTAACTTATCTTATTTTTTCCTAGTTCTTCTTAGTGTGTATATATAATGTTGGGCAGTGCCTACTTAGCTACATATTACAGTAATTACAATTAAGATAAAACTATTATAATGTCAAATTTACATAACAGTTAGTAATCCGAGTTAAACATATTTAGACATCTTGTGAATCAGCTTATTATCTGTCCAGAAGTTTGATGGAAGGTTGATATCAACCAGGGCTTTATGTGTTCAGTGGGCGGACTGGTGCAGGGGCTGTTTAGCCTCTAACAACAGAAGAGAAATTTGCCTTCTGAAGTCTCCAATGTCATATTACCCCATTAGGTCCTTTTACTTGGCTTTGCTAAAATTAGCCACTGCTGAACCTCCTTTCAGGCGGTTAGCAAGTTAGGTTTCACCTGGTTTTGTTCAAAGTTGGAGGGTGTATGGCTTCAAAGTGAAGTGCTGCTGGGTTTATCCATGGATTGTTAAGGGAGAACAGGATACAGAACTCATTCTTATAGAAGCTGCTCAGTGGCGCATGAGGTCAAAAAAGTTTGATTTCCTAAAAATGAAAATGCTTCAAATGCTTTTGCATTGTGGGGGTATAGAGCAAGTGCACCAGAGACTTCAGCCAAGCTGCTAACTTCCGGTTTAGCCCTCCACTAACTTGAATTGAGATAAATTAATTTATTCATGCAGCTGTTCTAGACATTCCAAATGTTAGAGGACTGAATGGATCAAATTCTGATAGTGAAACTCAGCTTTTTGTTCAGGTCACTACAGTCAGGATGGTACGGAGCCCCCGAGGTGACATGAGAAAAAACCAAAAAGTGACGAGATCTCAATTTTGAAACACGAGATCTCGAGTTTCTTTTGTGAGCTCTCGCA